AGAGAGAGAGAGAGAGAGAGAGAGAGAGAGAGAGAGAGAGAGAGAGAGAGAGAGAGAGAGAGGGTAGCATTCATCTCCTGGGGGGGTTGAAAGAAATTTAAGAAAAATAGTAATACCTGCGGGATAGCCTGAGCCAAAGTTACTCCCAGTTTCTAAACAGCTATCGCTTTTCCAGTCCCGCAGAGTATGATCTCTCGTCACCTTTCCATCCACATAACAGCAACAGCAATTGCACATTTTTAAATGATTTTTAACATTCTAATTTTTCAATGCCACAACTACAGCATCACTGTGAAAACCTGAGAAGGAAGAAACATACGGTACAGAGAGAGGACTTCAATCCATTGTTCAGCCTCTACAACAATATTGTTGAAAGGTCTCTTTCCCTAAACCGAGGGCAACAGTACTCCCTCTCTCTCTCTCTCTCTCTCTCTCTCTCTCTCTCTCTCTCTCTCTCTCTCTCTCTCTTGCGTGTTGATTTCTGCTTTTGTGTTCCAGATTGAAATGTCACCAGAGCGTGTGCACCTTCTAGTAAGTTTCCCATTTAACCCGAAAAAAAAAAAAGAAAAAAAAAGGGGACAATTCTTAATCCTGCCCTGGCTACTCACACAGGGACAGACCTGCACCCTTCCCTCACGTGCAGGCGCACCAGTCATAGAGGAGAGTCCCATCTGCCTTTGTCATTAATCAGTCCAACACCTCCTATCCTTCCTCCGTAAGCAGCGCTGACCTTCCTTCCTCGATGCATTCAGTTGATGCTCGTGTTCCTTGTGCTCTCGTGTTCCTTGTGCTCTCGTGTTCCTTGTGCTCTCGTGTTCCTTGTGCTTTTTCTCTTTTCCTTGTGCTCTCGTGTGTTCCTTGTGCTCTCGTGTGTTCCTTGTGCTCTCATGTTCCTTGTGCTCGCGTATGCTTGTGCCCCGTAAAAATAAAGAGAAGGTTCATTTTCTCTTTCACAGCATCAAAAAAGCCTTTCAAGCTTCAACCGAACTGACACTCACATTCATTCCTACAAGCAACAAAAGATCAAACATGGAAGACACCCCTCTCTTGACAAGGGGGGTGGAGGATGTGCAAAGGACACCCTTCCGCGCGGAGACATCTTGTGATGATACACGCATTCTATGGAATCTTTTTCAAACTCTGTTCAGGAATTCCTCATGGGTATTTTTTTTATTTGCCAGCGCTTTTGAATCACGACCACCAGGACTGTAGCATCATGTTTTTCATGGGACAAAAAAAAAAAACATTTTCTTGTAACAAATTGACAATAAAATAAAATTATGAATTCGCATCGGCAGATATTTCAGCAAGTGTGGATGCATAACCCTCCAATGTCACAAGAAAAGTAGAAGTAGAGTTGGTCATCAGCGACAACCGCACCTCTTATGTTTGTGCCTCACCTTTGCCACAATGCTGGCAGCACTGACAATGGGGAACAAGCTATCAGCCTTCTTGCTCACTGTGATCTCTATTCCTGGAAATTTCTCCCTCAGCCTCAACGCATACTTCTCTGCATCCCCAACTGTGTCCAAGAACACCTGTTCACCATACATAACATCAATGATCAGAACCCTCCTCCTCTTCCTCCTCTTCCTCCTCCTCTTCCTCCTCCTCCTCTTCCTCCTCCTCCTCTTCCTCCTCCTCCTCTTCCTCCTCCTCCTCTTCCTCCTCCTCCTCCTCTTCCTCCATGCACTTAACTTAGTGCCGCATACATTGACCATGCATAGCAAGGTCTCCGAGATGGTCCACTCTCTCTCCAAGCACTTAGTCAATTACATACTCTTTCTCCGAGATGGATCAGATATCACACATACACAGCAGCAAGGTAGTCGGTCAATCACATAACTCGCACACAATACCGACAACATGCGCTGGCTATAGCGGTTCCAGCTTTCAAGCTATATATGCCCTGGCTGATGGAGAGACTACACACTCAGGCTCTGCAATCTTTTGCCTATGCGATGGCGCAAGTCGTCAAGGTATGTAGTCTCTCCTGCACCTGGAGAGAGCACATACTCCGGAGAGACAACACAGCTTTCAAGCTATACGCTCAGGCTCTTGGAGTGTGGCTATCTTGTTCTCTTTTAATGTACTACTCTGTCAAAAAAGAGATTGCCTGTGCGAAATTGCTCGTGCTGCTAAAATGGTCGCTTAAAGAACAGAGATAGCGTATGGAATTAAAAGAGCCTGAGCGTGCGAAATTCCTCGCACTGCTGAAAGGGTCACTTCGGACCTCTTGATTGGCCTGCTGACTGCGGCGATGCAAACACGATCGCTCATGGGTACTGCCATGGAGTGTGCGCATTGGCATGCCCGTATCCTTAACGAGGATGGAAAGTTCCCACGACTGCATCTTTGTGTTCGTTCCTCGGTCAATTCTTATCGAGGAAGGAATCTTCTTCCGATGACTGCTTAGTCATGTGTGGGTTCTGTGCTCCGTCCGTCGACTCTGTACAAATGACGACTGTGTGTTCCCTGAGGCAGTCCTTGTGCGATATCGACTCTGTACGGACACAGACTGAGTTCCCTGCAGGATAGCAGTATCAAGACCATCAATACAGGAACTTCAGGATGGTAATACATTACAGCAATGAGATGAAAAGTCGAAAACATAAAACAGCAGCAGCTGAGCAACCATAGATATAATGATATTATAATTTATAATTTATAATACAACTTAATGTTGGTGTCAGTCGATATCGTGCTTTTCGAATGCCAGGTAGGTATCTCACATATACTGTCACACTTAGAAAGTGCACAAGTCACTTAGAAAATTAATGTCGACACCCTTCATTTTTTATTTTTATTTTTTTTTTATTAAAAAAAAAAAACAGAGCTCCAGGCTATTCGCGGGGACCAGCACGTGTTGGGAAGTGGGCACAGCGTCCCTTATGGAAGTTGCGACCTGGCCAATTGACAAATGACAGAAGCATCAAAAAATGAAGGGTGTCAACATTAATTTAATAAAATTATTAATTTTCCTTCGGCAATGCCCTGGGGATTAACTATTGAAGTTAGTACGAACCCCTTCATCTGGGCAAATGCAAAGAGTTGAACCATGGATGTAGATATCCCTCTTTCGCTTGCCTTTTCGTCACGCTGTCAGATCAGATTTCCATGCAAACATTGCTAGCTAATCAGTCTGACTAAACCATGATGTGCACAAGTCATCTCTGCCAATCAGGGGAGGAGGGGGGGGGGGGGGGGGTCCCCTTTTTTCCCCCTGAAAAGATGCCTTCTCCTCATATCTGAAACGGTATTCACCAATTCGTGGTAGCTGAGGTAGATCCCAGGGCTCGATCCCTAGTTTCCCAACTTACCTGTGTACAATACCAGCGTCAACTCGAAGAGTTGAACCTGCGACCTGTAGAACCGCCAGTGGTAGGTAGGTCTGTCGTAGGTCTATAGGCTGTCTCTTATACACATCTAGATGTGTATAAGAGACAGGGTGCAGGCAAGTGGTCAAGTGGTGCAGGCAAGTGGGCAAGTGGTGCAGCCAAGTGGTCAAGTGGTGCAGGCAAGTGGGCAAGTGGTGTGACTAAAGCAAGCCCATGTTGGAGAGAGTCTAGAAAGTACCAGTCCGGTCCAGCAAGTACCACGGGGGGAACTGTGTGCACCATGGGCCAGGGACACAAGGCAGACCAATGCAGCACAGAAGTATAAATCAAGAGGCTGCGTCCATTCATTCATTCATTCCTGCGGATGCCATGCGGAAGCGCTGCCTAGCAGCTTGTGCGAGGAGGTCTGCAGAGTGCCCGAAGACGAAGTGGGCAGAGGAGTAGAGTGCAGCGATAGGTAGTTGCAGCTAGCGCTGCCATAGCTGTAGCCTAGCATGTGTGTGTGTGAAGTGTGATACTGAGTGTTGCGTGTGGGACATCCAGGGTGATCCAGAGTGCGAACAGTGAGTTGTGTGGGCGCTCAGTCGCCATAGCCAGTTTRARGAGAACTCTTATGTGGATACGATATCTTGAGTACTGAGTGGGCGCCTGTCGCCAATTTGCTGTTTCGCTGTTTGCATACATGACAAGTTGAATAATCGTAGTGTGATTTCATATCGGGGGACAACTGTATTTTTACTACTCTATTTTCTTCTCTCAATGTTATGTCAGGCTCCCGCTAGGTACCTACTACCTACCAATCACCACCACACGAGCCCTGACTGGAGCTGAACCTATATACCAAGCACATAACATGGGACGCTGAAAGTCATTGGTAATGGGCCCTGGGTAGTTGCCCTAAGATATCCCGGCCTGCCTATCCCTTCGAGGTTGAGCCTATTCCCTCAGAGTTGAACCTAACCACCAGTGATGGATGGGAAGGACGAAGGCATAGCCCCTACCAAGACCAACCAGGGGCGGCAACCCAACTATCTCAGCTGGCAAAACCAAAGTGTGACACAGGGGCCATCATGGGGAGTCGAATGGACGACGTGGGAATCGAGGCCACGACCTCCATGCCACTTATGTGCTCTACCAACTGAGCTGAAAAAAAAAAGAAAAAGACTGCCAATCAGTTTTTTGAACTTGTTCATTTCCCTTTTCTTTCCCTTTTTTTTCTGGTCGTCTGACCGTATCTGGATTTGAACTTGGGTCTGCATTTCAACAGATCGGGGATGTACCAACTGAGCTAGGCCCGTTGGTCCGATCAGTTTCCAGCAGGACCAACGGTACCATTTCAGCGTCCCCTACGCGTGTATGGTTATGGCTATCATCATCGTTTGCTTACCTCTGCCAGAATGCATCCTTTGTTCAAGGCCCTCTGAATGAGTCCTATTGCCGACTCATGGGATATGGCGTTTAAGCTCCTCTTCTGTCTATTTCCCACAACAGACGACAGCCATTAAAGCACAACAACAACAACAACAACAGCAAGGAGGCTGCGTTACACATCACCTAATTGTTCGGCTCCGGTCAAGGCATGAGCTATTCATGGCCTACTATTATATATTATTATAATATTATTATATATGGAAAAAGTGGGCGGAAACATCCCCACACTGCCCGAAATGGAATTGCCTTTTTTAAGTTTTTAAAGATCTGATCACTCTGTCCTTTGGGACATCTGTTAAAGCACCAGTACACCAAACCCGCACCACTTGAGAGACCGCCGACTTTTTTTGTCGACGGCGGGCCTGGCCGCGCGGCGCCTTCGAGTTTTGCTTGTGGCGACAAAAAACTTTCTGCAAGACTGGGGCCGTGTACTAGTGGTTTAAAATTGGAACGATGCAGAGAAGGGTAATTAGCATGGCCCCTGTGCAAGGATGATCACTCTGCACACCACAGGCTTCAGCATGCTCCTCCACGACGTGAGACATGCACCATTAACTTCTTTAGTTTGCAAACAAAAAAAAGTAAAAAAGTTAAAAAACTTGAAAGAAAAAAAAATAAAATCCATGCCAATGAGGTTTGAGACTTTTAGTCAACCGGCTTTCAGCAACCAGCCAAAGCTCTTCTTTTTTTTTTCTTTTTTTTTCCTTTTTCTTTTCCTTTTTTTCCAGCCAATAACTCTTTTCTTTATTTGACAGCCAATAACTCTTTTCTTTTTTCACCTACCATCGGCTACCGAGATCATCGGCGAGATGTATTGTTGTTTATAGTAACTTTATATTTATATGGTCAAATACAAGTAGAACTCCTAATTTATGTGTATAATAATTTTATATGTAGTTCTACTTGTTCAGGACAGAATGGATGTGGTTGTGCAAGGAAACAACCAATAAGAAGAAGAAGAAGTTTTTTTTTTTTTTTTTTTTTTTCCAGATTGCAAAATTTCACAGAAGACCAAGCATGATGAAGCCGAGCTGAAAGCAGAAAACCAAAGCCGAATGCACACACCACTTAGGAGCAAACAGAACGATGAAGAACCCCCCCCCGAGTTCCGTCTCCAATCATCCATGGAATGACAATGTGGTAGTGCTACCTTCTTCACCCGAATACAGCGTACAGCCATTATAGCTGTATTTAGGGTATCTTTCAGTCTAAATACAGCAATAATGACCGTACGGACGGTGTATTCGCGTGAAGAAGGTAGTTGCAGTATGACCGCCGTAACGTACTTCCTACTACCTCTACTCACGCTACCTTCTTCCCCCAAATACAACGTTCGGTCATTCTAGCTTGTATCTGGGGTATCTTTCAGTCTAAATACAGCTATAAATGACCGTACCGCGTGTTCGGGGGAAGAAGGTAGCCTCTACCACCTCAGTCTCTGTCGACGTGTTACTTGTCCAATGCTGCTTGAAGACTCTGCTCACACAGGCTTCTTCCACCAACACAAGGAAAGAATCGCCAGTCTCCACTGGCCTTCCTTTCTGCCCTGACCTTCACACTCTGCCACTCAGCTTCCCTGTGCCCAGCTATGGCTGGCGCTCACTACAGCCACCGCAGCTGCTCTCCTTCTTTGGGCGCTCCTTTCTGTTCACTGTGCAACAGTGCTCACACCTCACAGCAACCTCTGCCAGAATGTGCTCTGCCTGGCCGCCTCCAGACTTTTGCGTTGGAGTGTAGGCCACATCCGGGAGAAGGGGGGTGAGAGGGGAAGTGCCTGCGGCCTACAGGGACAGTGTCCAGGTCCTGGTCTCTGTAGTTAACTCGCAAGCTGGCCCCTGCTGGTCAGTTACAGAGGCTGGTGCTTGGCAACCAACCCATAGGACCCCCCGCCCGCCTTCACTGAGGCCCAATGCAAATTTTCCAGAGCCACATTCACTTAGGGCAGCCTGGCCACATTTCCAGCAACAGCCTTAGGCCGCAGAGGCCTGGAGCCTTACAGTTGGTAGGTGAGCATCACACACACACACACACACACACACACACACACACACACACACACACACACAATAGGACTAAAGCTGCTTCACTTTTGGTTCTGCTCATCTGGGTGGATTAGGGGCTGTTGTGGTGAAAACCCAAAACACACACACACACACACACACACACACACACACACACACACACACACACACACACACACACACACACAACACAGAGACATACATGCACAGAAACAGACGTACACACAGATGGGCATACATCCACATACCTGCTAAGCATTTGTGCCGACAAGAGAGATGCAGGAATGACGTCAACATCCCATGCAATCGACTGATCTGCCTTGATACTCTCAAAAAGCACCTCTCTCTTCGCTTCTGTCAATGTTTTAGAATCTGCAAATATCCCGAAAGGGATTCCGTCAGTTGCATGTTGATATCTGATATTATCATATTATTATTTATTTTTGACTTATTAGGTTTAGTAAAGTGCTTCCAAAAAGGGTTTTATGTGCACGGGCATGAGGGCTCATGCTTCACACACAGGGCTTAGGGTTTCGCTTTCAGCATCAGTGATTTCATGACATGGCCACATTCTTGACCTGCATAGAACACCCGGTCATTATTGCTGTATATATAGACTGAACGTTGCTCCAAACACTCAGCAATAGGGTTCTATTCAGGGTTTGGGGGTCATTATTGCTGTATATATAGACTAAAACCCAGTCATTATGACGGAACGTTGCTCATATTGCTCATAATGACTGGGTGTTCTATTCAGGTGAAGACAGAAGGGTTTGGGGGTCACGGTTTTGAGGTTAGGGTTTTGAGGCCAAGATTTCGAAGTTCGGTTTTGAGGCTAAGGCTCTGAAATTAGGGTTTTTTGGGTTTTGGGGAGGGTTAAGGACTCTTATCATCTTATGTATTTTTGTTAACAGGGCTCTGCGTGCATGTGTATGTACTATGTATGGCTTCCTTACCTTAGAATATAGCACTCATCCTCACAACTACGGGGGTTGTTCACCATTTTACGGTTTTAGGCTCCATGCCACTTCATCATGGTTTGAACGTCAGGGTCCGGTACTAACTAACTATATGGGTAATATTTCATAATGGGGTAAGCTGTAGGCCTCTACTGTTATGATTATAAACCACCAGTACTTTCCGAAGCCGTCTGCCAAACCTTTTCAAAGTTTTCAGGTCCAGCTACCAACCCTACGCGGGAATGGTGAGAATCTAGCCACGGCATCGATGATGACATTCAGTTGCAGTTGCAAGGAAAATGAGCGATAGCGAACTTCAGAAATCAAACAGCATCATACATATGAGACCAGATAGTCGTGACCTCGAACCAATAGCAGAATTGCATCATGAGTTCCACCAAATAAGAGCACAGCAAAAGCTCATAATTGACAATGCTGGAATAGTCTCATCATCATCGACGAAGAACCAATGTCGATATCCTATCTGGCGCTCGGCGCCCAGACTACAGATGGCAGATCCTATCTAGCCTATCTACGACGCCGCTGATGACGTCAACAGCTCCCCAAAGTACGAGCAGATCTCGGCCAACGCCGCTCGCCTCAAGCACCAGGTATCACTCACAACCTCGATCCCCAACTCACAGATGCCACATGCACCCAAGGACCACCATGCGCCCCATCCAGCATACAGCAGCACAGCTCGGCTATGGCCGCCTGCTCCTTCCAGCTCGCCCGTGAGCGCTGGCCACCGTTAGCGCAGCATGCAGCCAGTGCCCGAATATCGTAAATGGAAGTGGCCTGCCTGCCTTGCGTGCAGCCTGGCTACGTTGGGCCCCTGATCAGAAGCTTCCAGTAGGCCCAGGGAGGCTGAGCCCCAGTTCAAACGAATCAGACCCTGGTACTGTGGTGGTTACCTGTGTACAACTGCCCGCAGCCTGTGTTTGGCCCATGTTGCGTATCTGGCCCAGGGCCTGCCTCAGTTACATACGAAAAAGGCAGCCTGGGCCTGGGCGCTCTCAACCAACTGGCGCTGCGCAACTGCCTGAATTTCCCCAGTTGCGTGGTGACCCCAAAAATGGGCCTGTAGGCCTTGGTCGAGCCTGCCTTCACTTAGGGCGGCCGACTGTACTGAAAATAGGGCGGAAAGGGGCTCATCAGGCCCGTATGCCTCGCAGATGTGTCCTCCAGGACATCCGTTAAAATTGGAATGATACCTGTCTCTTATACACATCTAGATGTGTATAAGAGACAGATTGTTTTCTATGCCACCCGAATGTGGGAAGGCGGCTGAAATGAGATGAGTCTTCTTTTGCGGGTGGGAAGGGGGCTGAAGAACTAAAAAGAAAGTAGGGCTTGTGGGGTAGGGCATAGATATGGGTAGCTAGTGTGAGGCGTGAGAGAAGAAAATAGGGTAGCGTGGGTAGGTAAAAAGTACAACTGTCCCCCATATGAGGAGAAGACAGCTGTATTTTTTTATTTTATTATTAAAAAGAAAAAGAAAAAGAAAAAGAAAAAGAAGAAAAAGACATGGTAATCAGCAAGGATGCGTCCAGGCTGGGCCGCAATTGCTGTCAGATAGCCGGACTGCAATTGCAGTCAGATACATTTCGCGCAATGTGCTAGTGTCGGCATTGCCACTGCCCTTCTGTCATAATAAAGTTCTTCATTTTCGCAGCAATTGCAGTCAGATACATCGAGCACTTTGTCGGTGTGAGTATGACCCCCGCCCTTCTGTCTACCACGATTCTGACAGATCCCGCCTGCCTGGGCGGGCGTGTCGGCCGCAGGGCCTCGCTGCACAAGGCACCAAATGTCCTGGATGATAATGAATCATCTGCACGAACACGGATAGATACATGGCCGTATCTATTATCTTTTTTTTGTCCATTTGGTGAGTGAGGTGATGCCCTTCTCATGTCATCCTACTAGATTGATGAATGTATCTGCCCGCGTCAGTAGATATATACCCATCAACCTATTAGTATGCCATAAATAGGTCCTCGCAGCACCACTCACCAAAGGTGCAAAGGACAACAATTACGGATGGGTATCTATATCCGTGTTCGTCCAGATGATTCGCTCTCCTTAGGACGTTTGGCGCATGGTGCAGTGCGGTCCTATGTCCGCCCCACACCGGCCTAGGCAGGTGGGATCTGCCACAATCGACTATGTTTCCTTTTTTTTCCTCTAATTTTTTTTCTTTTTGACAATTTCCCTCCGTTTTCTCTTTTTAGTTGGATGTCCCATCGGGCCCTAATACCACTCCGATACATTTTGTTAAGCGACAGTCCGAGTCTGGCGCGAGTCAGGGCCTCTCTCCACCACCACTGCGCACCACATGCACAAAAGACAAAAATGTATTTTCCCTGTTCTTGCAAACATTCATTCTCATTTTGCGCGCTTGGTGAGTAGTCGAGCGAGGCCCACACGAATGTGAGTGTGATAACTGACACCGAATATACTTCTTTTTTTCCCTCTCTCTCCAYCCCCCCCCCCCCTTCCCCCCTCTGTTTTCTTCTTTGTAATCGTGGTCGGTGGTGCTCATTTTCGTTTTGCTCCACCACCACCACCACTCTGAAAGAGTCTGAATGTATGTCGAGGCTCAACAAAGCCTCTACCGGGGCTGGTCACGGCCCTCCTCTTGAATATTCAGGGGGTCCCAGCAGTTTGCCTGGGCAGGGTACTGGTGGTCAAAATTACCATAACCTAGGCTACCAGAGAGAGGCCTGGGACCACTTGACCAGCAGGGCCAAAAAGGAAGGGGGGAAGGGGGGAAGGGGTGGGGGGAGAAAAAGAAAAGAAAGGGAAAGAATTTAGATGCGACCTTGGGGGCGAAAGTTGTAAGAATGTAGTTTGTTTTCTCTGATGCTAGGCTACCAGAGTGGCCCGGGGTCACTTGCCCGGCCGGGCCAAAAATAAATAAAAAAGTACAAATAAAATAATATTTTCAAAATTTTATTTTTTATTTTAAATTCGGTGAAGAATTTCGATGTGGCCCTGAGGCAAAAGTTGTTCGATTTATTTTTCTGCATAACATAGTTTTTTTTTTCGGAACTTTTTTTTTTTTT